CCCGGATTACCAACGGCGATGCCCATGACGACGCCTTTGAAGAATGTTTTATCATACAAATATTTCAAAGTCTGAAGCTGATTTTCTTTCAAGTTTATCCGATTTTCTTTAAACAAGGACAACTTTGCTCTGAAAATTCTACACGCAATTTTGAGAATTTCTTTCTAAAAGCGGCGGGTTTTCCTAATACGTAAACCGGTGCCGCATCGCAATTATATAGGCTTCTGGGCCCTTATTCACGAAAACTTAAACTAAGATACAATCGAAATTTTAAGAAATACTGCAATTCGATTGGCTGACCAGTAAAATCAATTTGCATATATCCAATGAAGTTGCAGTATTTCTTAAAATTTCGATTGTAACTTAGTTTAAGTTTTCGTGAATAAGGGCCCCGATATCTAATATTTAAGACATTGAAAATTTTAAAATTGGCACACGAATCGCGTGCCAGAATGCTTTCAAGCACCATTTGTAATGGTGCGACTCGATGAACGAGGCTAAACATTCCCCACAGGAAAATACCACTGATGTAGACAAGAATAACCAGACGCCAAAGACTGCCATTCAATTGTCACTCTTCGCTTATTTCGCTGAACATAACTGATTAGAAATTAGAGAAAAAACAGAAACGATTAAATGTAAATCAGTTAATTACAGTAAATTACATTAAAAAAGGAAACGATTGAATGTATATTATTATATTCATTGCCACCCATTTGTGTCCATTTCTAGGTTCCAAAGAATAACGATTTAGCTCTTTTAATGATTCCTTGCATTTCCATAAACATCAAAATGTAAAACAAAGGTTAGAGGCATGCTAAGTTTATTGAATTCAACTGCAAGACTACTTTAAAATAAAAGGGTGGTATAAGTTCCCGTGTGAACATTGTCGTGCACGCAAAAGAACCCATGACAATTGAAATTCCATATAAGAGTAAGTCTTAGCGCCGCTGTCCGAGCAAAATTACCCTCATAGCACACTGTATGGCGTATGCAAGTCTTCATTAGCCCAGTCGGAGCAGAACAGTAGGATTTTATTTCATTGTAAATAAGATATCATTTCATAAGATCTGTCATTGAGTCAACTGGCGTGGTTTCGAATCCCTGGTTGTACGTGGCAAGGAGTAGGGTCGCCTGTCCGACCTCGTGGGTTTTCTCCGAGTCCTCCGGTTTCCTCCCACTGCTAAAGACCTCTACGCGCAAGCCAATTGAAATAAAATTAAACCATATGTTAGTCCCGAAATGACCTAGTTTGTGTCGAGTGGACGTTAAACCCCATTTCTCTCTCTCTTCATTTAAAACGTGTCATTTCAGGTCCACCGTAGTTCAGTTGAGCTTCTAGAAAGGTAGTGTGCGTCATAAAGGTCAAAATGAACTTAGTGTTAGGAATTGCGTCTCCAGTAAATTTTCTTTTGTCTGAATATAGTTTTTTTTAAAGCTAAGTATATTTCAATAGGATGATTGTATCGATATTGTAATGGTGAATCATCTACACCTGATCAACCAGCTAATACGATGTGTCACCCAACGAGAAAATACGCTTTTAGATAACAACGGCTTGTCATTTAGGGGGTGGGGATAGGGGAACTTTATCTGCGCTTAATAAAAAGGGAGAGATGGGGTTTATAACGTCCACTCGGCACAAATTAGATCATTTCTGGACTAACATATGGTTCAATTTTATTTCAATAATTCGAATGCGCGTAGTGGTCTGTAGCAATGAGAGGAGACCAGAGGACCCGGGGAAAAACCCACGAGGTTGTACGGGGGGACCCTACTCCTTTTTTTTATCCAGATATGGAGCCACGGTGGCTAAGTGAGTAAGACGCTGGCTCGCTAGCTCCCAGTGTTGGCCGTGATAATTCATCAGGATTTTCCGGCGTGGTTCCCCCTTGTCAGTGGTGCAGGACGGAGAGCCTGACACGGACAGCTGTCTAGTCGTTCGGGTGGGACGAAAAACAGAGGTCCCATGTACACATTGGCGTGTACGTAATAGATCCCTTGGCAGTTGGAATTCGGCCAGCTAAATTTTTCGTCATGAGCTAGCGCTAATCCCAATTTTCCCCTAATCCTAACCCTAGACCTAGCCTCAATGCTTACCCTAACCCTAACCTACAATCTCGCCAACAATCACGTGTCCCTAACCTTATTTACATCTCAACGACTTTGACAAAAATGAGCTGGCCTTAACAAATAGATTTAGCCATATGCAGGCATTTAAAGTTAAATTTTCATTCGCGCCGCCCATTATTCTGTTGAATAATTGGAGTTCATCCTTTGGTAAATGTTGTTATTGCTCCAATCCAGTTGCAATATGGCGAGTGTAGCACGACCATCAGAAATCTTGATTGTGACTTCACCAGTTTCATCGGCCAACACCGAAATTCGAACCCAGGCCATTCTAGTTGAGAGTCCAGTACATTGGTCGATCCACAGTCTTCGACATTACAAACACGACTTACTGGTCAATTTAAATCAACATTGATGTTGTTATCTTACCGGGAAAAGTTGGGCTACTGATATCCAATATTTAAGACAAAATAAACATATTACCATCGGTACACGAATTGTGTACCAGAATGCTTTCGAGTGCAAGTTGTATGAAACGACTTGATGAATGAACGAGGCTAACATATCCCGTGTAGAAGAATACTACTTGTGTTGTCTGGAATAACCAGACGCCAAAGACTGCCATTCAATTCAGACTATTCGCGTATTTCGCCGAACATAACTGATTTAAAATTAGATTAATAACAGAAACAATTGAATGTAAATCAGTTTATATACATTCATATTACATTATGATATGCTTTGTGACCCATTTGTGTCCATTTCTAGGTGCCAAATATGAGCGATTTAGCTCCTTTAAAACAGAGTTTCCTGATTCATTTTGTTTGGCCACTTAATGTCTCGAAAGATATATATTGTTGGCGATATCACCTTCATGACGGCGGGCGTAAAACAAAACTATTTTTGGTTTGGTCGAATCATTCACGGGTGTTCATTGTGTAACGTTTACCGTGTATTGCGTATCACCGCCTCCTAAACGTCCATATATACAGTTACATGTATTGCTGTACCCCCGAGACCCCTACAGTAGGGAAATTATTCACCTGCTGAAACGGGCTTACGATCAAAGGGGAACAACTACAGAAATCATCGCATTAATTTTCATTTCATACTTCTTGCGGGAAAAGAGTGTGATTTGTTTTCTTCGATTTTCGAATAATTTCAACCTACCGCTTTTTATAACATAATGTCGTGAATCCATGTTTTATTTGAAGCACAGCGTCATCGTGCGCCCGAATTCCTTTTGGCATGGACATGTAATGCGAGTACATAAAATTTTACTGTAACAAAATGTCTATCATCACAACCTACCATATTCGTTCATGAAACCAGGAGTAGAAAGATTAGCCTAACCCGAAGGGAAGACACAGACCCAATATGCAGCATTAAAAATGATCCTCGGATTACCTAAAGTATAGTTCCCCCCGTCCCAATACTAATCTTTTTCTCTCCGTTTTCCCCTTTTGCATGGCCATCTGTGTTAATTGTTCTCACTATAATAATTAAAAACTAGATAACGTAAAGGCAATTTGCTGAAAATTTCATTCAAATTGATCCACTATGAACCGAGAACTAAGCGAATGAAATTTCTGCCTAGCCTCGGTCATCATTACAAAAATCAGTACGATAAACAGCATAGTCTCGATTATCCATTTAATCGTTTAATCGAGAAGGAAAGTTATGCAGTAAATCGGCTCACAATCCACTTAAGATCGCGGGCTAGCGACGCCATCGAGAGTTGATTATAGTCTGGATAGGTTAATTAATGCAAGAGCTAAATCTGTTTATTGCAGGTCTTTTTTAGGCCTGAAATGTTATCTAAATTATTAATTAGACATTAATTAACTTATCCAGACCATAATAAATTCTCGATGGCATCAGTTTTCTCCGATATTAAATAGATTAGAATGGTTCAGCGATACTTTGATTTAATCAAATATGGAGGACCGAGACTTAGCTTCGATCAACCAGTACGGAGGTTGAAATTATAACACGCGTCTGTCAAACCTTCAAAGGCTAATATCTTCGCTTGCAATAGAGTAATTTGAATGAAATTTTCAAATTATTCATTTTACATCATCTACTTTCGAACTATTATAGCAAGAATGGCTAGTTCTTTATCTAAATCTTACATAAAATATTCTTAAGTTCACGATGGGGTTTTCCACGCCGAAAGTCACGTGAAGGGGTACAAGCACCGACGTTCGCCATTGTTATTATACATACTACGGCAAACGAAAATTAGCAACTAGGCCGACTAAACGACGTTGTTTGGGCCAACTTGCAACAGGGCCAGTGCTAGCAGATATAAACATACAGATCATATGACCGGTGTTACTTTCTATCGGTGTTGGAAGCCGTCAATGAATGATCTTAACCATCTTTCTGTAGATATTTAAACAAATAAAATGTCGAGATATAGTGGTAAATAAATACACTTATCTAAACAGTTACCGTACGTATCTTATCACATGGTAGTCGGCCTATTCGGCAATAACGTAGGCCTATTGGCCGGTACGGTACTTATTTCTTGCTTTTAAATCGCTAAAAATTGCAGTTCCAAAAGGAATTACACAATACATATATCAGAAACGGGATCATTATTTGTACCTTCCTCGGGTGGTGACATTCAGTTACATTTTTGAATTATCAGATATACTCTCACAGTCTCACAAAACAACTTTTAGTCTTCGACTTGCTGCTTGAAAAAACCCATTGGTGTCATTTCGGAGTTGGTATAGAAATGAAATTAAGTTTTAGCGGCCCACTGTTCTGCTCTGACTGGGCTAGTGAATACAGTGGTAGGTAAAAATACTTCTATGGCTTCCTAGCCCAGTGGAGTTCTGCTTTTTCACCATCTGAGACCAGGCTTTGTTGTACATGTACGTAATCCCATCAATGAAGGTAAGATATAAAAAAAAACAAAAAAGGACTGGTTTAAATTTTATTTATAACTGTCATAAAGTTAACTTATAATCATAGCATCACCTTCAACTTGCAGCGAAGAAGACCACTTTTTATGTTAAAATATGTGGAAGATTTGATTGAAGCATTTTATATTTTAATCTTGAATTTCTATCAGTCTACTAATACCTTAGCTACCATGATAGGGCCACAAATGCTGTGGGTAGCTGCATTTAGTATTTAATTGGTCGCAGAAAGGAAGAACTACATTCTGCTGACACAATGTTTAATTTCCAAGCTCAAGTCATACGACAATGGTTAGATCTATTTGTTAAGGCCAACTTCAAGTTTGGTCTAAGGTCACAAGATGTAAACAGGGCTAGTGCTAATCCTAACCCTAGAACTAACCCTAGCCTACAATCTCGCCAACAATCACGTGCCCTAACCATATTTACATCTGGGTGACTTTGATGAAAATTGAGCTGGCCTTAACAAAGTGGTCCAACAATATATAATAATAATATTCTACTGTGCAATATCTAGTCGAATAAAATATTAAATACACATATAAACCACATTAGTCTATGGTGCAAACAAAATATGTATATTCTCTAATAACTCACAGTCAGTATAATACATATAACTCACACTTTATAATATAGATATACAATAAGGGTTAATTTAAAGAATCTCCTGGATTTACGCCCAAGTAAATGATAATATGATTTGTTAAGCAAGGACACATTAGCCGAATCATTCAGCCAAATCAATCCGCGCTGAATTTTGTTTGACCGAATGGGTGGACACACTAGGTGAATGCTTCGCCCGATTCACCGGTCGATTGCATCACCTTTCATGTCACATGATTTAACATGGCGACGACCATTGTCTTCAAACAATCACGTGACTTCTCGATATGAGTGGTGATTGGCTAATGAATTCTACATTCGGGTGAATCCTTCAGCGAAGGGGACACACTAAGCGAATATATCAATTACTGATAGGTAATGCTTATTGTCACCAAATAGTTCATGTTTCTACTTCATAAAGCTCTGACTATTGTCACCGGTTTATTTATTTTCCTTGTACATTAATTATATTGGGTGATTAGAGAATTTTAATGGTCTGCTATGGTATCACAAGTTGTATCTACTTGATTAACAAGTGTTGATGAATTGGATATCAATAAATATGTACATTGTATATGATTTCACCCAATATCATTCATAAACCAGAGTAATTCAAGAGAGAGATAGAGAGATGGGGTTTAATGTCCACTCGACACAAACTAGATCATTTCTGGACCAACACATGGTTTAATTTTATTTCAATAATTTGCTTGCGTGTAGGGATATTTAGCAGTGGGAGGAAACCAGAGGACCAGGAGAAAACCCACAAGGTTGAACAGGTGACCCTACTCCTTGTCATGTATAACCGGAGAATCGAAACCACGCCAGTTGACTCAATGACAGACCTTATGATACAATGCGCACGCGCTAACCATTCGGCCATTCAAAAGAAAATAGAAAAGATGGATCATGTATCACCTGGCTGGGAGATGTACATGTGGCAGTACTTGTATATATTGCTAAATACCATGTGAAGAGTCCAGGGGGAGAACGATCTAAATCACATTTTTGTCTTTTCGCATAAAAGGCAAAACAGTCTTTTGGACAAGAATGCTTGACGCGAACTGAACGAGTGGGTTTAATTACAACTTCAAAATGACGTTTAATACGAATCATAATTACTAGTACAACTAAAACTACTGACTTCAACTTTTTGGTCAAATTTTGGTAAAATAGAGGGTATGATGGACGTATTTGTCCGCAAGACCATTTCAGAAGGGCCTTTACCTGAAATTGATTGTTCCTCAGAAAGCTTATACAATTTGCTACCAGATGGCGCCGTTAACTGGAGTTCGTTGATAAAGTGACTTAGATCGTTCTTCCCCGGGGCTCTTCATGTGTAATTCATTATTGGGTGAGAAATAAAATACCTTATTCACAACTTTCTTACACCATCAAATTATATGAACAACCCATCAATAAAATAAAGTTGATACATGCATTAAACTTGAACTAAACTCATATCCATACATGTACATGTAGGCTTAAAAACGAAAACATTCAATTAAATAAAATATCATGATAGATTAATGCCTTTGTAACCTTGGTTATTTTGTTATAAAACCATGAATTAATCCAATACAATAACCAACACATATTAAAGTAATATTACAAAATAATCGCTGAATCACACAAATTAAATAAAACCAATAAAAAAAGTTTTGTTAAGCACGTTTTGTAGGTGAAGATGTGGATGGCTTTTGTCGGAATAAATATTCAGATTCGGAGCCTTTGGACCTATCAACTTGTCGAGCAAGTTTATCTTCTAAATCAAACTGATGCTGCAATGCCAATGCTAATTTCAGGTCTTCGTCAATTTCACTATCAGACATTGTTTTATTTATTGAATGCTTAGCGGATTTTGTCGATTTTAGATTTTTCTTAGAATTACTTTCTTCTTTCATATTTATAGCACTATTTTCATCACTTTCTGTTGAATGATCAAATTTACTTCTAACAGAAATTGTCCTTTTGCTTTTAGATGTTTTTGTTGGAGTTATAACTGAATCATATTTTTTATCTTTCTTTCTAGATTCCTTTAATGGAGTTGTCCCCCCTTCTACGTCACTGACATCCATTGCTTTATCAACTCTGTTCACAAATACTTCTTCATTTTTTTCTTTTGATAAATTGCTGTTTTGCCTTTTTTGTCTTTTAGGTGGGGATGGCACAACAAGGTCTGTTTCAACTACTGATTTTGTTTTCTGAAGGCTCTTCTCCGAGTCTCCATAATCCGACTGATAGTCTTCATCAGACAGCGCCAAAGACCTGGAACTTTTTCGTGATCTCTTTTGTGGACTTGATATCAGTTTTTTTCTTGTAGACTGTGACACGGTTGTGGATCTAGTCCTATTTTTCTTGACAACTTTCTTGGCAGTTGTTCTTGCACGCTCTTTCACGCTGCCAGATCTTTTCTTTGGAGTAAGTTCCGTATTTTTAGCTTTTGATGGTTTTGTCACATTGTCTTTTTTGGTCTTAGTACTCGGTGAAAACCAGTCTTTGATAGATCTCTGAGGACTTAACATTGGAGATGGCACTTTTACCGATTTCTTACGTAATTTTTTAGCTTTTTTCGAGGGGGTCGATGAATTATTGTTTGTATTAATATTATCAGAAGTTTGTCCATCAACTTCATCATCCCCATCATCATCATCAGAAAGAATATTTCTGTTATTATTAGTGTTAACTATATCATCAACTGATAGTGCTGTGTTTTCTTCGGGTGGAAAGAGACCCACAACCCTCTTGGGTACACTATTTCTCTCAACAATATTAACAGCTTTTTTTGAATTATCCGACACGAGAGACGTCGCAGATTCCGAGTCAATATGCCGCGATTCCGTGGGATCGCAAGATAAAGAATCATCATTATCTGTCGTTGAATCGCAATCACTCCGAACGACTGTATGATTGATCACGTTTGAATTTGATGTCACTGTTGCCGGTTTGTGTTTGTTATTGCTATCACTATATCGGGACATAACATTGAATTGATTTCGGACAAATTCTCTGTGTTGCTCCAAGAAATTTGACGTGTCCGCGATGGAACTATTTGACAGGCCTGACTGTTCGTGATGTGATTCAACCCATGACGTGTTACCATGTTTTGTTCGGGGACTTCCAGTTGATATAAAACCATTGACTGTACGAACTGAATGATCGTTGTTATTTCTCTCCTTATCTTCTTTATATCTTGTTTCGTGATTGTGTTCTAAAAATGATGAACCAGCCGTGTCACGAACGCTAGAAGCTGAACTTAAGAAGGAATCCAGAGTGTTAATACCATTACTTGTACTACTTGTAGTAGAAGAAGCCCTGGATGATCTTGACTCTGGTTGTAACGGCAGATTATTCTCAAGACCTTCATTTAAACTCGTCTGCAAAAAATAGAAAACATGACATGTTAACGCACCTAGATAATGATTTTAAGAAAAAAAAGAGGGAGAGAGAAATGGGGTTTAACATCCACACGACACAAACTAGGTTCGATTTTATTTTAATAATTTGCTTGCGCGTTGGGCCTTTAGCAGTGGGAGGAAACCGGAGGACCCAGAGAAAATCCATGAGGTTGGACAGGCGACCCTACTCCTTGTCACGTACATGTACAACTGAGGAATCGAAACCCCGCCAGTTGACTCAATGACAGACCTTTTTAAAAGAGAAAATGAAATAAAATGGGGTTTAACATCCTACTGTTCTGCTCCTAAACTGGGCTAATGAAGACGGGCATACACTATACAGTGTGCTATGAGGAAAATTTTGCTCAGACAGCGATGCTGAGGCCTACTCTTATATTGAATTCCAACTGTCAAAAATTCTTATATCTGTTTACCCAGTATACTCACTTCTTTCAATCTAATTAAAACACAGATCCTATTTCGTTTCGTTTTTTATAGTTCAAAATTTCGTTTACTTGTCTTTACTACACTAGGATCTGAAAGAGTTGTTATATAACCCGTGTTCTGAATTAGCAAATGAAACGTCTGTTATGACGAGTGGGTAACCCACTAGAAACATCAATGCTGATATGTTAATCAAATGTCTGACGTCATAAGTCAATAGCCGCTCATACATGTATGACCTCTGATGCGGCCTCCCGCTACAACCGGTCAGATCTTGAGAGAGAGAAATGTGGTTTAACGTCCACTCGACACAAACTAGGTCATTTCGGTACTAACATATGGTTTAATTTTATTTACATAATTCGCTTGCGCGTAGGGGTCTTTAGCAGTGGGAGGAAACCGGAGGACCCGGAGAAAACCCACGAGGCTGGACAGGCGACCCTACTCCTTGTCACGTACAACTGGGGATTCGAAACCACGCCAGTCGACTCAGGTCAGATCTTGATGTAGTGTGGGTCATAGAAAGTACATATAAAAAATCGAAATATAGATCAGGGCCCTTATTCACGAAAACTTAAACTAAGTTACAACCGAAATTTTAAGAAATACTGCAACTTCATTGGATATATGCAAATTGATTTTACTGGTCAGCCAATCGAATTGCAGTATTTCTTAAAATTTCGATTGTATCTTAGTTTAAGTTTTCGTGAATAAGGGCCCTGTATTTTAATCAAAATGCATCTCTTTAAAAAAAAAATTTATATTTGTATAATTGTGACAAAGACATAGCAGATGTGTACACTTTACCTCAGCAGCAGCCTGACTAAGCTGTCTAGCTAGTTCCTCATCTTTAAGGCGTTGTTCCTCGGCCTGTCTTTCCAATTCCCTTTGTCTTTCTTCTTCTTCTAGTTGTAATTTCCGTATTAATGCAGCACTTTCGGCTTCCTCTTTACTTTGTTCAACTTCCCTCTGTTTTTGTAACTGAAAAAATATATGTAAAAAACAGATAGAAATAAATAAACCTTTCAAATAATTGTAATTCAACATTGACATTTTTGGGGGAAGATATCAAATTTATCATGGCTTAATTCATGCTAAAATGTAAGATAACTCAAATTAATTAATACACAAAAACACGTACTTATGAAAAAACAGCTACTTATTTATTAGCTTGATAATGTTGAGAAAATACTCTTCGAAACGTCGCCCAAATAAATTAAGTAGCTGTTTTTCCATACATGTAAGTACATGTATGTGTTTTTGTGTATTGCTCTATCCAGTTACTAAATGTCTCCCAAAGATTATCAAATTGATTGTTTAACCAGTTTTATCACATATGTGATAATGACCGACACCAATATTGTCCTTTAAATGGACTTCATCAATGACCTAGCCTATTGATCCATCTGGTGTATGGAGTAGTAGAGAGAGAGAGAGAGAGAAGAGAGAGAGATGGGGTTTAACGTCCACTCGACACAAACTAGGTCATTTCGGGACTAACATATGGTTTAATTTTATTTCAATAATTCGTTTGCGCATAGGGGTCTTTAGCAGTGGGAGGAAACCGGAAGACCCGGAGAAAACCCACGAGGTTGGACAGGCGCCCCTACTCCTTGTTACGTACAACCGGGGATTCGAAACCACGCCAGTCGACTCAATGAACTTTATGTTAGATTGGGTCCTATGAAAATATTACATGTACTTGAACACAGACAGGTGTTACCAAATTCTAAAGAAAGACGAATCAATAAAATACCACAAGTCAAATATCACAGGATAAAAACTTGAATAAATCACCAGCTGCGATGGCCGAGTGGTTAAGGCGTTGGACTTGAAATCCAATGGGTTCTACCCGCGTAGGTTCGAATCCTGCTCGCAGCGAAATTTTTTAAATTTTTTTTTAAATCATTAAATGTCATTAAAAAGAAAGCAGTTATGTTAAAAGAAAGATGTGTAAATTTTGTAAGGCGCTATATAACGTATATATGTACAGTGTCTACTACATGTACATGTACTAACTAGCTACATTTACGAGAACGTACATGTAGCTAAAAACGTTGAGATATACTGATGAGTCTTTAGCAACGATTGGATGCCTTTAGTTTCACTGTTTTACCTGGCAAATTTAATTTCTTTATTAATGCTTGTAACATCTTAAAAATATGTTAATTTTATACTATTAGGACTAATTAAACATACCCAACCCAACCTAGTGGCACAACTTTCATTTATATTCAAGCTTTTAAAGCAGTGGACACATTAGCCGAATCGTTCGACCGAATCAATCGGCGCCAAATTTTATTCGGCCGAATGGGTGGACACACTAGCCGAATGCTTCGCCCGATTCAACCTGTCGATTGCATCACCTTTCACGTCACATGATTAAACATGGCCGCGTCTATGTCTTCAATCTATCACGTGACTTCTCGATATGAGTGGTGATTGGCTAATGAATTCTATATTCGGCCGAATGCTTCGGCGAAGCGGACACACCACGCGAATATAATTCGGCCGAATATATAAAACATGTTTGATTCGGGCGAATCATTCGGCTAGTGTGTCCACCGCTTAACACAACGGTTTAAAAGAGATGCTTTGTACCCGTGTCAGGTAGGATTATAGGCTTTATTGTAGTTGGGTGTGACAGAAATGTAATAAATAATAATAATCAATCGTTGTTTTGAAGAAAGAAATTGACAGTTTTGTTTACACTGGTACTGTGTGATTGACATCTCTGCATCTGCCAGAAATACATGTATATACATGTAGTACCATCTCTTATATCGAGACACCCAGGATTGAGAGATGAGTTTTCTTATCTAACTACCTGGATGGCCAAATGGTTAGCATGTGTGCGCTATATCATAAGGTTTGTCATTGAGTCAAATAGCGTGGTTTCGATTCCCTGGTTGTACGTGACAAGGACTAGGATTGCCTGTCCAAACTCGTTGGTTTTCTCTGGGTCCTCTGGTTTCCTCCCACTGCTACAGACCCCTACCCACAAGTGAATTATTGAAACAAAAATTGAACCATGTTAGTCCCAAAATGACCTAAGTGTATGTTGAGTGAATGTTGAACTTCATCTCTCTCTCTCTCAAAGACTAAGCACAAATAGCAAAGTGGCTAAAATAAATCTCTAAATATAGCTATATATATTTGGGAGTCTGCCAACAATTTCATCATATACCGACCCGGTATTATAACAGAAAGTATCTGTGTCATCAAGCCTACAGGTACATCTATCATTGGCTATAGTATGCCATCAATCAAATTATAAATATTATGTAACCAACTGCCTCAACAAGAGAGAGAGAGAGAGAGAGAGGTTAACATCCACTCAACACAAACTAGGTCATTTTAAATAATTCGCTTGCATGTAGGAGTCATTAGCAGTGGGAGGAAACTGAAGAAAACCACCTACAACAGGGGATTCTTCCTCAACAATACATGTAGGTAAATTAAAGAGAAATTTAAAGTCTAACCTTTTGAAGTTGTTCTTCATATTCTTTTCTGATTTCCCCTGGTTCGGCGATATGAACTATAGGATGGTGAACTGTGGGATGATTAAAAGAAAGAAAAAACAACATATAATTAACAAACACGAGGAATACGACGATACTTATAATACTATAAACTCCTTCATAATTTATAGCATCAATCAGCATGGAGGCCATTTTCACAGAAAAACTGTGTATGAGTAAGTTGAATGGTAGGAAAGCCAGTTACAGTAAGGACACACCCAACTCGATATTGAGTAAATAGTGGCTGGAGTTCACACAGATGTGGGGTCTATAACATTATCTGATTCTACATGTAGTTAATAATAGAACCAACTAATTCTATTAATTATATTCATCTCACTATCATTGTCTGTTGGTATACGCATTTAATTAGAATAAACAATTGAATTAACTGAGTTTCCAGTATTTTCTGAGGTTAATGATAGAGAGAGACTAGGTCATTACGGGACTAACATATGTTTCAATTTTTATTTCAATAATTCACTTGCACGTGGGGGTCTTTAGCAGTGGGAGGAAACCGGAGGACCCGGAGAAAACCCACAAGGTTGGACAGGTGACCCTTCTCCATGTCATATACAACCGGGGAATCGAAACCACACCAGTTGACTCAATGACAGACCTTATGATACAGCACGCAAGTGCTAACCATTCGGCCATCCACCCACCCCCAAGGTTAATGAAGATAGACGCATGCCATGCACAATGTGATTAAAATACAGATCTATATTTCGTTTTGTTTTTTATACTTTCAATGACCTACACTACATGACGATCTGACTGGTTGTAGTGGAAGGTCACGTCAGGGTTTATACGAGCAGCTTTTGACCCTATGACGTCAAGACATTTGATCAATCAATCAGCATTGTTGTTTCTAGTGCATTACCCACAGTTCCATGCCCCTCACGCCAAAAACTTGGCATAACAGACCGTATCATTGGCTGATTCCTCACATCAACCATAACGCGAGCTATATAACAACTCTTCCAGATCCTAGTGTTGTAAAGACAAGAAAAACAAAATTTTGAACTATCAAAAATAAAACGAAATAGGATCTGTGTTTTAATCAGATTGATGCCATGCAGTATGCTACGTATGAGAGAATCTTTGACAAGAGAACAACATTTCCGCCTAATCTTTGTGAAATTCTGCAGTGTGAATAGCTAAATGGTTAGGGTATGCGCGTTGTATCATAAGGTCTGTCATTGAGTCAACTAGCTTGCTTTCAATTCCCTAGTTGTACGTGACAAGAAGTTGGGTCGTCTGTCCAACTTCATGAGTTTTCTCTGGGTCCTCCCACTGCTAAAGACTGCTATGTGATTTTGCTAATCCATCCCACCTTGCCAGATGCTTACATGTAAAAGACTATTACTACATTGTAGTCTAAACTAATTTGCAAGAAATTTTTATCATACTGTATGCAATTAATAAAAAAAATCTCTTACTCAAATAATTTAATTCACATTAATAAAAAATGTAATGATCAAAGTATAAAAGTTGCTGATACATGTACAATGGAATTCAAGTTTATTCTTGTTTGCCAATTTGGTAAAAATCTTGTTCATTCATACTTGAAATCAATTAGTTAAATAAGGCAATATGTGACTACACAATCAACCAACATATTTGATATTCAATAGAGGTGGTACTTGGTCAATATAAGATAGAAACTGGATGGATAGAAGCCTTTCATGAATCATGTACACCATCGTAGAATCCAACTTATGTAAATAAAGACAACGGAAATATGAAACTGGGTGGAGATTGAAGTTTTTAGCTAATAATAACTCTGACGTCACAAAGAAGAGAAAAATGTGCCACATATGATGTGCACTAAATGGCAGCATCAGAAATTTAAAACGTTTTTTACTGTATGAATATATTGAGAAATACAATATTATTATTCTTATTTCGTCTGTTTATCCAGCAGTTACATGTATACACACAATACGGCCTTTACATGTAGCTTTCCTTCCACTCACAAAAACATTTATCTGATGAGATAGGGGTGGGGGCCTCGCTCAATTAAGAAGAAAGTAGGGTCCAGAACGGTGCGATGTCCCCAGAAAATTTGGAAAAATAGATTCGATTTGGTGGATTCTGGGCGAGTAACATGAACATATTGGACATTTTTTTGTATTACAACACAAGTTTCCAACTTCAATCAAGGTACGTCGAATCCAAGCCAATCACTAATGAATGAATGATCTCAGATTTGCCGTCTACCAACAGAGTTCAAACCAATGTCAAGATTATATGTACCCACCTAGCCCTTTTTGGTATAAAATGGACTGTATCAAATGCAACAGCCAGAAGTTAAAATGGGGCCGATGATTGAGACTGAACGAGAGCCCAAAGAATGACCTTCATATTTCCAAATCTAAATTAGAATCCCTTAGTCATCCAACGGAATATTTGATCTTGTACCCAACCCAAAATGTTCAGTTTAAAAATATCTCAAAACAAGGATGAAAAGGACTAGGGTCAATTCAGGTTTGACATACGGTAGATTTTTTTGCTAATAATCTGAAGTGGGTGGAAAACCTGTGAGGTTTTGTTGCTTTAATGACAGTGCTTCTTGTCACACTGGGATCAAATCACACCCTGTATCAGTATTGCAGTTTAGCACAGTATAAATGCACCAATTGATCACTGAACCTTTTTGATGACAGGGACAGTAAATCTGCAATGAACACACAATTCAGATTTCAATACGGATCCTAATTATGGTTAGTCAAACAATATTAGAAAGATTAAAGCTTTTGGTACATGTAAATGTAGCTTGCATAAAATCAATGTGCGACTCTAAAAATTGAGAAACTCTTGACCAGTTTGAGGCCTACTCCTACCAAGAACTGAGTCAGCGTGGGTGTAATGACACCTGTTTGAACATCCATAACTATGACAGAAAGTGGTGCTGACATGTTTGACAAGAAGAAAAGTGATAAGGATTATTCTTGTTTAGAAAACAAGTGAAAGGTCTTTAAAACTTGTTTTATTAGGACGACTTTTAAAACATGTAATGGGGGTGTGGTGGATGGCTGAATGGTGAGCATTGGCGTGCTGTATCATAAAGTCTGTCATTGAGTCAACTGGCGTGGTTTCGATTCCCTGGTTGTACGTGACAAGGGGTAGGGCTGCCTGTCCAACCTCGTGGGTTTTCCGGTTTCCCCCCACCCCTACGTGCAAGCAAATTATTGAAATAAAAATTGAACCATGGATTTAATTTGTTAAGCGCAATTTGCTAGAAAACAAGCATTGATAACAAATGCTTGCATGATATATAGTGCACACATGCACATGTACCACTTTTGCATTCTCACAAACCCCTGTGTCTTCATTAGCTTAGTTGGTGCATCAATCATTGTAACAATACAACCACAATTCACATGATCTTGAACTAAAAAGATACCAAACGTTCCACAATTGCACAGTTTCCCAAATGTTTGATTGATAATGTACATGTACGCAGTTTTATCGATTACATGTCATTTGGGACTCACGTCATTTGGGACTCGCGTCATTTGGGACTCAAAAAAATATGACCACAACATTTGGGACTCGGGTATACGACGTTTGGGACTTTGGTATACGCCGTTTGGAACTCGGGTATACGACGTTTGGGACTCGTATCGGGATAATTTATTAGAAATAGGCCAATTCAAAACACGAAAGAAAATATTTATTAACATGAAACACGTGGTTAATAAAAGGCTCAACCAAACGATAAAACATTAGTTGCACTTATGGTTCTTTGATAATCATCGATTCTCATAAAGTTATATATTTATTTAAAACTAATAATATGCTGATGAATTTATTTGAAAATGACCTACACAAAAAAACAAAATAAATATTTACACGACATGCAATCTTTTTTACAAGCCCCTAGAAATTGTTAACGATAATCTGTGAGCTGCACGTTGACATGCTTGTCGTAGATGGCAATACCAATCGATAAATTAGTGCGTACAAGGCAAAGTTTTTTTGTGGAAAATATAAGAAATGGCAACGATCAAAGCGGGATAATTAAAGCTGATTAACTGATAATCCTGATGTTATTGCAGTATGTTCAAAGAAACCTAACGGTTCTTTGGTGGATGAGGAAAAACGTGAGTTGTCAATCATCGAGAATGGCGTCCGTGTGTTGATTGCAGTTATACCGTTTCACGAAAAAAACATGAGCAGTAGTCGGTCAATCAAGCTCGTTTACTATTTGATAAAAGAAAAACAACAAAGTATTACTAAATATACACAAATTTTCAACAATATATTAATGTCAAGTTTTATACTCGCAGATAAAACAAAACAAAGGAGAAGTTTTATACTCGCAGATAAAACAAAACAAAGGAGAACTAGCAGTGTTAATCGCGGTCTCAACAATCGCCGATCAACTAAATTAAACGAAAGACAACTAAGACAGCTGTTACTATACATGTATATCTCATAAATAAATAGTCCCAACTGTCGTTTATATTGAGTCCCAAATGTCGTTTGTGTTGAGTCCCAATTGACGCCAATCAAGTCCCAAACGTCGTCAACTGAGTTCCAAATGTCGTTTATGTTGAGTCCCAAATGACGTGAGTCCCAAATGACGTGATACCGCTTTACCAAGCTTCTAACATGATTTTCCTTAAGTGCCATCGTTTTTCTTTTAAAAAAAAAATTCTAAAAAAAGTATTTACACATCAAATAAATAAATATATAGAGTTTAATCAGGCCTTGAAAAGTCACTTCAGTAACTAACCTGTCATTTGTAATTTTCCACATCACATTATTGAACCGGTTAACCGGTCGTTAAAAACACAACTGCAACCCTGGAATTCCTTTCTCACACCACGACTAATTTACACTAAAAATTATATTTGTAATATAGGCCTTATCGTATCGTTGAAGCCCTCCTAGTTGTTTATTTATTCTACATCAGATATGTAGGCCTATGTCACTGTCAAATTACTTTTTGTCGGAGCTCTGGAATCCAGTGTGACTGTATTAGAACGCAAGAGTATAACGCAAGGGACACATGGTTTAATCTTATTTTAATAATTCGCTTGCGCGTAGGGTCTTTAGCAGTGGGAGAAAACCGGAGGACTCGGAAAAAAAACACTAGGCTGGACAGGCGACCCTATATACAGCCGGGGTATCGAAACCCTTCCTCTATGATACAGTGCCCACGTCCTATCCATTCGGACATCCAAACCCCCAGTACATGTGTAAGTCGAATAATTTTATTGGACACAGATCTGATGGTCACCGTATCATGATGGTGTAAATTAAATCTCATCTGTCTATGCTATGGACGGTGAGGGTGACAGACTTTGTTTTACTTACATGTTTCAAGCACGTCGTCTTCATCTTCTTCACTTTCTACTCCTTCTAACCTTCGTTTCACTTTTTCCGGAAATAGTTTCTGTATTTCTTGCCATCGTTTTTCATTAACCAATTTGTTTTGTTTTGTTGACAACCTTGCCCATGTGCCGATTCTAGTCCGACACATCGGGCAAAGCAGCGACGACTCTTCTACATTTTGTTTGAAACACGGCATACAAAGTTCGTGCTGACACGGCATGGTAACCGGATGAATAAGTATATTCATACATATTGGACAAATACAGTCCTCTAACGTGGCAGAAGAACTTGTTGAAGCTATGGAACAAGCCATTTATTCTGGAAACAGTCTGTCATTCTCAAACTGGCGCGCAACAAGAATACGGAAGTGGCTGTAAACTTCCGGTACAACTAAAACCGGTTTCAAGCAAACCGATTATCGATAGCATGATGACCCACTGAAAGATAACGGTAAAATGTACATTGGTCGTTGATATTATCGAACATTAGACCTATATTATATATGATAAGATCTTTCGATGAGTAAAAAAAAAAAAAACAAACTTAAAGTAATGTTTTTAAAATCGATATCTGATCTAATGTTTTCACAGATCTAGCAAATTTATTAAAAACACAAAAATTTAATCATTTGATTAATCTGAATTTTAATGGATTAATTTTGCTCATAATCAGTTAGACAAAAATCAAAAAAAAAATCAAAAAAAAAAAAAAAAAAAATCCTTATTTTATTATTATTATTATTTGAATTTTAATTAATTTTCATCAACTATTTCTTTATTGAATAAAAAAAGAAATAATTGATTGTATTGCTATGTGTACTTATATTTTTAGAATAAACTAAATACTTAATCATATTGCACATTTCCCGTGATTGAGTAGATGGCTATAACATCCACATCTGTTCATCGTTGACTCGTCTCGACAAAAATAGAAATATTTCAGTATTATTGACCCCCTCTAATGTACGCCAATGAACACATGGATTATATATTCGGGCGGCGTTAAAATAAATACTGAAATGACAAATGTAGGTATATAAGTTTATGTATTTATAGACCCCTTGTTACATACTATCTATGTCGAGGGTTTTAATTGGTTGCGGTCAGACAAAACTGTCCAAATAGTAATTGCAAATCTATAGCGGGGTTATATAGTGTAGAATAATTACTTTATTTAAAGAAGCTGAATCTCTATAACTTGGGACCTAGAAATTGACACAGATTACAGTCGTTGTTGTTGTATTTCAGAGGAGAGTCAAAAAAAAGCTCCCTTCAATCAACAAATTGAAAAAAATCGCCCCCCTAAAAAAACTCTTTAAGTTTCGATAAGAAGAGTGATTTAGAAATTAAGGAAAGTGATCTGATATTAAGGAGAGTGATTAGTTGTGTGTATGGGAAATGGTTCTGAAGATCAATAACTGCATGTAATGGAGTCATTCCTGGTTTCACAAATAATAATAAACCCCCAGTGATTTTGTAAAGGAGAGCGATTTTCAATTTTAAATCGAGGGAAAAAAACCTCCCCTCGGTCGACATTCAGGTGAGCGGCAGGTGCTCGAAAACCATCACTGGCCTTAAAAATCAATGACTGAATATAATAATGTAATATGAATGTATAAACTGATTTACATACTATCGTTTCTGTTTTTACTCTGATTTCAAATTAGTTATGTTCAACGAAATGCGTCAGAAGTCTCAATCGAATGGCAGTCTCTAGCGTCTGGCTATTCCAGTCTACACTGATAGTATTTATTGCGCATTCTCTCCGGGTAAGAATATGACGTTACCGTTTGACGTGACTTTTGGAATATGTCTAGCCTCGTTCTTCGAGTCCCTTGTTACAAATGGCGCTGAAACGCATTATGGTACACGATTCGTGTACCAATGGTAAAATGTTTATTTTGTCTTAAATATTGGATATCAGAAGCCTATCTTTTCACGGTAAGATCACAACATCAATGTTGATTTAAATTGACAAACAATTTGTGTTTTCAGTGTCGAAGACTTTGGATGATATTGAATTAGAGACTTAGCTCCCTTAAACTTGGTCATTTAAAATTGAACAACTTATAATAATAGTTAAACATGACACAATTATATGGAATACAAGTTTATATCTCCCATATTTATCTTTGCTTGATATAAATGAGATAACCCTCGCCGAAACTTCGCCAGAAATAAATCTTTTAAGTAACTTGTATTCCATATAATGGTGCCATGTTGTATTCTCATTCAGTTACGGAATGTCGCTTAAACAGTTATTTATAATATTTTAAATTTTGAATTTGATGGAAACAGAGCACCAAGTGCTGCACAAATCTAACATTACCTTGACTACCATGTATTATAATCTAATGCTATTTTTGGCTAATTAATTGGCTATGATAACAGAGTCAAAAACTGTAGAACATTCCCTGTCTTTTGTATTCACTGACAAGTATCGAAACGCCTTTTAAGTTAAGAATGACCTTTAGGCATCGGCATTGGAGTTGGATAAACAAAACAACATATATTTTATATCTTCAAAATAACACTACTACTCGATCGATATCCGCTGTCATATAAACACTACAGTGTCCTATATTCTCTTAAAGGAAATACCAACGTAAGTAACGTGTTACGCACGTGTAATATATTCTATATAATGACCCCAGTGATCACAAGAATTCCCAATTGATATATTTATATATCCAGGTGGTACTAACACCGTTCTATAAACTAAAGTTCACGGTATATTCATGACTGATCTTTGCTTCATAACAGAACCCGAACTGGAAAAACAATTCGACAACGCCCAACATAGACATCTGCAAATTGTGGCACTTTATTTGCGATCCCGTGTAGATTACTTTGATGTGAAACTTACCCAATGGTTGATGGACCTCCCTAAATAAATATTACAATTATATAGATCAAACCTTAGCAAATATATATACATAAAGGAATGTATACAAGATGGAGAGATTTGCATTTGAATAACCCGAATATTATTTTTGACAACCACAAAGACTGGTCTCGCTTTATCACAACTAGCCTAAAAAAGGTAGTCGAAAAGCGTTTGAAACATACAAAAAAAATTTGAATTAAATTTGTTAAATATTCACAAAAGATATTTTGTATTTTTTTTTACGGCAGCTGATGAAACGCTAAAAGATAACAAAAGACAAAATTTTATCAAACAGCACCATTTGTGTTTAAAGCGGCGAGTTGGCGATCTCAAATGAAATATGGTTTAACGTTCTACTGTTCTGCACCGACTGGGATAATATAGACGGCTATACGCCATACTGTTCTACCCCGACTGGGCTAATGAAGACAGGCATATGCCATACAGTGTGCTATGAGGCAAATTATGCCCGGGCAACGGCACTATGACCTATACTTGCATCGAATTCCAACTGCCTGGGGATCGTTTACGTGCACGCCAATGTATACACGGGACCTCGGTTTTTGGTCTCACCCGAATGACTAGACAACTGTTCTTGCCAGATCCCCAGTCCCGCACCTCTGACAAGGGAGAAACCACGTTGGAAAATCCCGAAGAACTTTCTCGGCTAATGCAGGTATCGAACATGCGACCCCCAGTCTAGCGAGCAAGTTGCACATTCAAACTGTAACGCAGCAGACATAAATAACAGATTTGGTTGAATTCTTTCAAGATAGAAAAAGCCTTTGTTGAGTCGACTAATAATTAGGAGGGCAGGGTGGTCGAATGGATAACGGGAGCGCTTTAGATTATTAAAGAGGCATTACACATAAGATTAGATAAAGAGTTGACAGTTCTCGCTATAATAGTTAAACAATAGATAATGTGAACAGAAAATGCTGCAATTTCAGCCATATTGCTTCACTCTGAACCAAGATATTAATGATTCAATTTTCGACTAGCCTCGATCAGTTCTATAATTAACAAAGTCTCGATTATCCAGAAATCCCCCCCAGAGGCTACGACATTTCTTGTCAGCGACATCACTAAGGTGGAGAGGGACGTAAAATAAACCAAAATACCAACAAACAATCCAGCGGCAGGCGGACGGGAAATAGATGTAGCAAGGACTCTTTAGATATTGAGTTTTTTTTTTGTTTATTTCACGTTTAAATACCTATAAGATTTATATTGTATTGTTTGTAGAAATTATTTTATTGTTTTGCTGTTTCTGACTTGTGTTTTATAAACACAACGTGAAGAATGTGGTGGTGTAAGAACGTGCGCGCTGTATCATAAGGTCTGTCATTGAGTCAACTGGCGTGGTTTCGATTCCTCGGTTGTACGTGACAAGGAGTAGGGTCGCCTGTCCAACCTCGTGGGGTTTCTCCAGGTTCCTCTGTTTCCTCTCACTGCTAAAGACGCCCACGCGCAATCGAATTATTGAAATACAATTGAACCATGTGTTAGTCCGGAAATGACCTAAGTTTGTGTCGAGTGGACATTAAACTCTCTCTCTCCCTCTGTCAGTCTTGCTGTCAGTGTTTCGCATAGTAACACACGAGTTGTGTCCCATAATACTTCAGCTTGAACGGTGCAATGAATTATAATCCTTGAGTGACATATAGCGATTCAGTATATTAAAAAACACGACAATTTCAGGGGGGGGGGTCAGGGAACCTTCAAGGATATTTGAATCCTCGGCAAATGTTCGGCGACCATTCGATGACCATTCGTTGACACATTCGCGATCTCGGGGTTGCATCCCCGAATAATCGTCGACGGTTGAAAAGTGCATTCTTCCCCTGGAATTTGCATAAAGCACATTTTTGAGTCCTATAATTTTGACCTTTGCACAAAGACGTGCACTGCCAGAGATGATGATGCTTTGTCCAAAATATGCATATATAGGGATATGGTCATAACGGCCTTAAGCCATAACGGCCAAAATCTATTTTGGTCAAAATGTCCAAGCAGTTTGGTCATAACGGCCAAACAATATAAATTTAATGAAAAACAATATATTTTACAAAACATAACTTCCTATTGTTAAAAATAACTTACTCATCTTTGTTGAAAATAACTTACTCATCTTTGTTGAAAATAACTTACTCATCTTTGTTGAAATTAACTTACTCATCTTTGTTGAAAATAACTTACTCATCTTTGTTGAAAATAACTTACTCATCTTTGTTAAAAATAACAACTGACAAAATAACCATGATCATCTGAACATATTTTCAACTAATCATCCTATCCAATTAAAATGCTCTTTGATAATCTTGAAAATGGCTACATGGGATTAGTGGTGATTAACAAGTGACTTTAGCGCTTTGTCCCCGGAATGCCTGCAGTCTATTAATCCGTTAATTAATTAATTATAAATCTATACTTTGTTTAAATCCTGTCACTCAGTTATAATGAGGATTGGTCAGTGTTAATGAGGTGGGACCCGTTTCACGAAATTTTAACTAAGATAAAATCCAAATGTTAGTAATTTGATTAGATAATATTAGATTGACTTTAGTGCTTAACCAAACAAAATTGAAGTATCTACTAAAATTTGGATTTTATCTTTAGTTAAGATTTCGAAAAACAGGGCCCTGGGTCCTTATTAATAATTAATGACAGTCTGAACACTATTTATACCGGCTTTATACCTTCAAACATATAAATTTAATTCACCATATTAATATAAATGGATGGTCTGTGTCGAAATGAAATGAAATGAAATGGGGTTTAACGTCCTACTGTTGGGTCTGGGTCAAAAATATATTTATTTCAAAATGGCTTTCTACGTTAAAGCGGAAATTTCAAATTTTCAAGTTTTATTTTTAAAATGTATTAAAATAAAGCCTTAAAATAGATGGTATCCATAAACAGTCCTACCTTGTTAAAGAATAATCCTATTAATCCTATAATTCGCTATTGCCAGCTGAGAAATTGGCAAAAATATCATTTTTAACTTCAAATTCCAACGTTGGAAAATGGCTGCCCCATGTTGTCAATAGCAAAACAGGGGAGGTAATTGTGTTGTTATTTCATGTGTCATAGATTTTTAAGGGTGGGAAATAATGCCCATGATCGTATAATAGTGAGTTGATAACCTATTGAGCAAACGACATAGAAATAATTATGTTTTGACTTTCTTAGAAAATTTGAAATTCTCGCTTTAAACACCCCACTTGGCTATTGACTATAATTCTAACATATATTTAAAGGGACTATCCCTTATTTGATATGTGTTGTAAATATGTGTTTGATATTGTTTTTGTACATATTGTATTTATTTATTTGTTTGTACTGTATGTTATACCTGATGAGTCTTGATTTAAAGGAATAAAGAACTTGAACTTGACTGATATTTGCAACAAAAGAGGTGAGGACTAATTAAATTAACTGATTGGATAATCCCTAATTAAGTACTTCACGCCCCTCTAATCTGATTAGGTAACATGAGCTGAACATTAATCCAGGTTTTTAAAAACGGCCCAAAACAATCCATTTAGGGGTGCTTTAAGAAACTTTGGAATCTGAGGACCTTTTTTTAAATTTATTTTTATTTTGTGTTTTTAACAATTTTCAAGTGTAAATAATTTAATTAAATCAACCTCATATCATATTCATTGTATTGGGACGTTAAATCTGTAATAAACAACAACAACATCCATTTAGACCAGCCAGAGTTATTCGAAGAAGTGGCGTATAGAGTGTTTGGGCTCTATAAATTGGTAAATTTTATTTATAATGAGGCGCAACTTCTGCCACTTCAACCAGTTTAAATGTTTGAGGGTAAACCTTCCTCGTTATTCTTTTTTTAACAAGAAGAAATGTTCAATTTATGGAGTGACTATAGACAAGGGCGTGGATTTGTCATAAATCCTTTTTTTTTGGGGGGGGGGGGGCGGAAGAACCCTGGAATCTGGAACATTTCATTACCAAACGAAATAAATAATTACGAACAGTTTACTGTACCAGTGTGATGACTATATGGAAAAATTGACTACCTACACCAAAGCTGCATAAATATTAATTGTTCATGAAGTTAAGTGAATCGTCCAAAGACGTTCGTTCTACGATCAGGACTGTTCTCTTTGAATATCTTGGTGACATGAAGGGGGTCATTATGCACCGCACACGCCATCAAGTGGCTCAGTCGGTTTTGCATCATGGAGTTGCGCAGCCGACTTTTGATGCGGCGCAGAGTGCTGAAGGATCGCTCGGCTGAGCAGGAACTAGCAGGGTTCAGCAGTGTGAGATGAGAAGAGCTTGGACAGAAGGGAACGTCTGCCTCACTTCATGTAACATAATGAGGAACGCTCCATGCACAAGTGAAATAGATTTGGCCGAAAACTGGAGAGACCTATTCGTTCCCCCCCCCCCCTTCCGATTCTAAGGGGCGGGGGACGCGTCCCCCTAAATCCACGCCCATGACTATAGAGATGGTAATATTAGTGTTTCAACACTTTTAAGAATTTCCACACCGCCGACGATTTTTTTCCCAGTGGTACCTAGATATTAAGTTGAGCGTTGTCGCATGTTGATTTGTTCATGGCAGAATGCGTCCAATCCAACCAAACAGAGACGATAAATTAAAACGGGGAAAATATTCGTGACTTACGGCCTACATAATGGAAGTTCAGAAGAGGTAATCTTTCGTGGACGAGTTGATTTTATCAGTACGAACAGCCCAATTTATTTGTGGTTCAATGGACATGTTTTATTATAGGGGGGAGTTTTGTTATGTTATTTAGAACTGAGTGCCGTATTGTTCAAGACTTTGCTCAAGTTTCTGCATGAGCGACTATGGATGACATTCTGTCTTAATAACAATGAAACCGTTGTCCGTTCTGGGGCAATGTACTCTGATTTGTTTAAAATCATTTGACCAAAAAATCAGAACACCGTTACCTATATATAACATACTGTCTTAATAACAATGAAACCGTTCCACGTTCAGGGGCAATGTACTCTAATGTGTTTAAAATCATTTGACCAAAGAAAAAGAACACCGTTATCTATATAACATATATATATATATATATATATATATATATATATTGCTCTATATTCATGTGTAAATCAAAACACAAATTTATAAAGAAAAAATAAATCTGAAAATCTGAGCAGAAATATTCACCGGTGTAAAGAATAACAATACTCGTGTAACAAGAATAAGATATGAACAAAGGATACATTTACATTGAGTATATATCATTTGCATCAGTGATTGTAACGCCCGAATGCGGCCCGATACTAGATTTTTGTACGATCTGGAAAATATCTTTCCGTGTTTATACTAACCCTAACCCTTCAGAATAGTTTTGCCCACAATCCACGGGGGGTTGGATGGCGCGCTGTATCATAAGGCCTGTCATTGAGTCAAATGGTGTGGTTGCAAATCTCCGGTTGTACTTGACAAGGAGTAGGGTCGCCTGTCCAACTTCGTGGGTTTTCTCCGGGTCCTCCGGTTTCCTCCCACTGCTAAAGACGCCTACGCGCAAGCGAATTATTGAAATAAAATTAAACCATATGTTAGTCCCGAAATGACCTAGTTTGTGTCGAGTGGACGTTAAATCCCATCTCTCTCTCTCTCTCTCTCTCTCCCCACAATCCACCGTTTTTACAGCTTCAATTTGTACGTTTGACATGTAATTTGTAAACCTAACCCGAACCCTAGAGAAAGATATTTTCCAGATCGTACAGAGATCTAATATTGTGCGATTGGAACAACCCACGACCATCGCCTCAAAGAAATAGAACAAATAGCACCAATAGCCTTTAAGATTGTTTACAAAACAACACACGATATGCTCGCCGAAGCGACTAAATATCGTTTTCGGGTTGGTCTTACTTAACTTCTGTTTAAAATATGTCTAACAATGTTATCAACAGCCCGTCCTTAAAGGCTCAATACCACTCTTGTTGTAACTGAATAATATGTCCCAATCTTTATTCTGGTCAACAAATTGTACTATTTTACAATATTCCAATTAATTGATGGTACAAATTTCATCTTAACACACCTAATTTAAAAAATTAGAAAAATTTAACTAAATGATTTGAAAAGCCTGACTTGGATTTAAAAATATTTTTGAACTCTCTGGACAAGTAAAATAGGATTTAATGGATAATTTACACAACAGGTAGGACACTAACACATCTAGTACTTAGAATAAGGCTATTTTTTTATTTTCTGGAGCTGTCAAGCCAGCAAGAGTGTTATTGTCCCTTTAAGTTTGGCTTGATAGTAAAAACCTGTTATTTACGGACGAGTGGCGACGGTTATAAAGTATCTCAAAAGTAAACGTTTCTTTAGTTGAAACAGTTTTACGAGAATTAGCCACGATAGTCTATTGGGTGTGTATTTTTAGACTATTGGAGGCTATATCTCAGTCTGATTAAAACACATATCCTATTTCGTTTCGTTTTTTATAGTTCAAAATTTCGTTTTACTTGTCTTTACTACACTAGGGTCTGGAAGAGTTGTTATATAACCTGCGTTCTGGTTGAAATGAGGAATTAGTCAATGACACGGTCTGTTACGGCGAATTCTTGTCGTGCTCTGCACAGAACTGTGGGTAAAACCAACCACTAGAAAGGTCAACGCCGATTAATCAATGTCTGACGTTTTAGGGTCAAAAGTCGCCCGTACGACCCCTGACGCGACCTTCCAGTACAACAGGTCAGCTCTTATGTAACGTAGGTCATCGAAAGTATAAAAAAACGAAACGAAATATAGATCTGTATTTTAATCAGATTGTAAAAATTAGAAACCCGCAAATGCAGAAATTTGATCAAATATCGTCTATTTTTTGCTTTTTCTCATGTTAACCGTGATAAAAGCTTTTCGTTCTTGTATTTGATTAGGGATAATAGTTGTAGTCGGACCAGTCAGACTGCTGCCATCAGCCTCACTTAAAAAGTTTTCTCGAATTGATGGAGATGATATTCTCGAGTGTCCCTTATATCGCAATGGTAACACCATACACGCACTGCTAGCCAGTAAAGTTAACCCTCCGGTCCAAAACGATGCTGAGTAGGTTCCCGTTAAATCAAAGAGTAGACCTGAAATAGAGGATAGAAATGATTTTATTAGAACGGGAAAATTTAAATGAGAAAGGGTGTTCTTAAAGGAGCCAAATCTCTAATATTTGGGACCTAGAAATTGACATAAATGGGTCGCAACGCATACAATAATGTAATATGAATGTATATAAATTGATTTACATTCAATCGTTTCTGTTTTACTGTAATTTCTAATCAGTTATGTTTGGCAAAATTCGCAAATGGTCTGAATTGAATGGCAGTCTTTGGTGTCTGGTTTTTCCAGTCTATACAGGGAGTATTCTCCTACATGGGACATGTTAAGCCTCGTTCATCGAGTCGCTTCATACAACTGGCACTCGAAAGCATTCTGGTACACGAATCGTGTACCAATTTTAAATTTTGTATTTTTTCTCAGGGTAAGGTAACAACATCAATGTTGATTTAAATTGACCAATAAGTCGTATTTGAAAATTCGAAGACCGTGGATGCTACTTTAAGGAATGGTAATCTTAAGAGTCGTTTTAGAGAATCTTGGTGCATAATGTTTGGAAACCATTGACGAATGCTTCTGTTATCCTTTCTCTTTCAATTTAAAAAATAGTTAATTCTATTAATTTTCATTTTCAAAGCCAGTAATAGCTACTATTAACCATTATCTCTATTACTGGATAGAATTAAGAAATTTTCATATCTTTATGCTGGGACTTTCTGATACTGGATTATGTCCACTAGCGTTACAATGGTGTTATAAGAAAAAAAAGATAAAATGAAATGAAATGGGGTTTAACGCCCTACTGTTCTGCTCCAATACTGGGCTAATGAAGATGGGCATACGCTATACAGTGTGCTATGAGGGAAATTTTGCCCGGACAGCGGCACTACGGCCTACTCTTATATCGAATTCCAACTGCCAATGGATCTTTTACGTGCACGTCAGTGTCTACACGGGACCTCGTTTTTCGTCTCATCTGAACGACTAGACAGTTGTCCTTGCCAGGCCCTCCGTCCTGAATCACTGACAGGGGGTGGGGGGCACGTCGGAAAATCTGGATGAACTTTCTCGGCCAATCCAGGTATCGAACACCTGACCTCTAGGCTAACGAGCCAGCGTCTTACCCTTGTAGCCACCGTGGCTCCCTAATAAAAAGATCAAATGTAATTTATTAACGTGTCACCATCTACATGTATACAAAAGTTTTAAAATATTACTGTATATAGTTACATAAAAGTAAAAAGTAGATGCCAGCCGATGACGAATTATGAGACACGGTTAAAATTTTCACATTAGTAAAATCAATAAATTACATAAAAAAAACCCAAAAAACAAGAAAATACTACTAAATTACGAAGTTAAAATATCACATCACAAGTTGATATTTTTTTATATCAAAAAAGACGAGTAGGAGATTTTATTTATCACCCAACCCTTTCTTATGTGCACAAATAAATAAATATAATTCTTTGCTATAGATTTCACTTTTACTGAACCTGATTACATTACGGCGTAGTGATACATCATTTTTTGACAGCAATTCAACCATTGCAAAGTCCTTTATATTGATCCAGTGTTTCCATCAAAGTCAATTAAATAAAAATAATTCATTTTTAATAAAAAAAAAAGAAGTTACTTTTAATAAAAAAAAAAGAAGTTACTTTTAATAAAAAAAATGAACTGTTCTTTGAAAATACAAAAAAAGTAGTTCCTTTTTAACTGACCAATCAAAGGAGATATCGCAGTAGATTATGAAATTTATCACACAAGCGATATCTACCGTAGAATGTATTATTGGGTGATAAAGTAAAATAAACACTATTGTTCTATGTTATATGGTCATGGTTGATTGTTTTAAAATATTGTTTATATTAATTATTCAGTTTCATTGAGACTATGTATTAACAATGATGGGAAATCAATAACTCCTACTTTTATGCGAAATCAATATGTCATTATCTGATCTGTATATTATTCTATAAACATGGACACAGCAAGGATGTCCTAAATGATGGATGAGGTTGGTTCATTATACAGAGAGAGAGAGAGAGAGAGAGAGAGAGAGATTGGGTTTAACGTCCACTCGCCACATAATAGGTCATTTCGGGAGAAACATATGGTTCAATTTTATTTCAATAAATCGCTTGAGTGTACTGTAGGGGTCTTTAGCAATGGTAGGTACCGGAGGACCCGGAGAAAACCCACGAGGTTGGACAGGCGACCATACTCCTTGTCACGTACAACCGGGGAATCGAAGCCACGCCAGTTGACTCAATGACAGACCATAGGATACAACGCGCACGTGCTAACCATTCGGCCATCCAACCCTCCGGTTCATTATACGAACTTATCATCCCTGGAATTCAACCTATTTTGGGAGGATGGGGTTGGCACCTCCCTTTATGGGTTAGCGATCTTATAAAACACTACTATACCGACTCACATATACTGAACCCAATATATTGACCTGGCAGTTATATGTAACGAAACATACGCCCACAGTAGCTAAGACGTCCGGGCAGCCAACAAGGGTTGTCGCATATTTTATTTTCTATTGTTAGTGATGATAACATTTACAACACATGAAAATCTGATTACGAAGTAATAACCCATTAAGTAATTATCAGAAATCATTAGAATTTGTTTCGATTGTTTGTCTCATTAACTATAGCCCTTAGAGCGTCAAAAAGAGTTTTCAAAGTGATCAAGGGCCATAACTCTGGCTATAATTATTGGAAATCGTTGAAAATATATAGGAATCTTCATCTCATGACCTTAAACACTGTGTATGTGCGTCCTATTTTAACAGAGACATCAGCCCCAAGTGTATAGTGGTGGTTTTAGAATATGAACTAAATTCTTTATACCGTTTTTATTCCAGAAAACTCCTCACCGGTACTCACCGGTACTCACCTGCAATTGGTCCACCTAAAACTTGTCCAACAGCACTGAACAGAGACACACAGCCATATCCACCAGCAAATCTTCTCAGTCCTAATAACTTGGCTAATATTGGTGCAAATAAGGTTCCTATTCCAGCCGTAAAGAAACCGAAAGTCAGGGCTAATATTAATAAACCAACAAACGTCTTCCAGAATGGACTGATAAAAACAGATATTCCCGCAATGACGAACGATGACATGTATAATAAAACTAAATTAACACGTGGGTGTTGACCAAGTACTCCTAATATTAGACGCCCAATCAAATTAGATACCCCGATACTCGATATGAGCAGAGTACTTTCTTCCAGATTGATGCCAGAATCTTTTGCAAAAGCCGTTAAATGAATATAAGTAACGGACATTCCGAAACATATTAAAAAGCTGTTGGCACAAACCGACCAATAGGTGGCCTTCTTAAAAATACTGACGTCAAAACTATTTCTGCTTTTGAGCTTACGCAACGATCTGATTGGTCGAATTAAGGCACCACAGACGCACAGATTTAAACACAACCCTCCAATAATCAGGAATGAGCCCCTCCATGTGTACCATTCCACCAGATGCGCGATGAACGGGGGGAAGGTTAAAGTCCCTAGTCCGACTCCTGTGACAGCTATTCCCGTAGCAATATTACGACGTCTATCAAAACAAAACGTTACGGCAGAAATTGCTGACAAGTGGCTGAGACCACAACCGAATCCTGAAATTAAAAAATAAAACTCTTTGTTTTTATTTAAATAAGTCATTTTAAATTTAGAGTGTCATAACCAAAGGTGTGGATTTGTCATAACTTATGAGGGAACGGACGAACCCTGGAACCTTTCATTACCAAACGAAATAAATAATTACGAACAGTTTACTGTACCAGTGTTATTTCGATGAAGGCTGTATCTAGGCGTAATATGATGCCAATATGGAAAAATTGACTACCTACATCAAAGCTGCATGAATATTAATTGTTCATGAAGTTAAGTGAATCGTCCAAAGACGTTCGTTCTCCGATCAGGACTGTTCTCTTTGAATATCTTGGCGACATGAAGGGGTTCATTATCCGCCCCACACGCCATCAAGTGGTTCAGTCCATTTTGCGTCATGGAGTTGCGCAGCCAAGTTTTGATACGGCGCAGAGTGCTGAAGGATCGCACGACTGAGCAGGAACTAGCAGGGTTCAGCAGTGTGAGATGGGAAGGGAAGATCAGCCTCACTGCAGGTGACATAATGTGGAACACTTCGTGCTCACGTGAAATAAATTTGGCCGACAACTGGCGCTTGAAGAATGGCAATTCTTGTTCCAAGTCCCGATTCAGTTCCAGATACGTAGAAGCAAGCTCACCATCATGTGGATATAAACCTGAAAATCTGTCCTGGCGATCAAAATCATGGGGGTGGGAAGAGACCTATTCCCACCCTACGATTCTAAGGGGGGGGGGGCGCGTCCCCCCGCCCCTATATCCACGCCCATGGTCATAACTGGGCTAATGAAGACGGGCATACGCTATACAGTGTGCTATGAGGGCAATCTTGCCCGGACACCAGCACTATGGCCTACTCTTATATCGAATTCCAACTGTCAAGGGATCTTTTACGTGCACACCAATGTGTACACGGGGGCCTCGGTTTTTCGTCCCATCCGAAAGACTAGACAGCTGTCCTTGTTAGGACCTCCGCCTTGCATCACTGACAAGGGAGAACCACGCCGGAAAGTCTGGATAAACTTTCTCGGCCAATGCAGGGATCGAACACCCGACCCCCAGGCTAGCGAGCCAGCGTCTTACCCACTTAGCCACCGTGATCCCCGAAACGACTCAGCAACACTACCCATGGACACACGGGTTTAAAACGTACAAGATTCACCAAAGCCGTTATTCGACTCAATGATATTCTGAGAGCCCAGTACTCTCTAACCCCTCGGCTACCACAGCCCAACTCACAACCCTTGGTGAAATGGGTTGAATTTTGTGTTTACCTGCGACTAGACCAAATGATATATACAGATACTGGATACTGTGGGCAAAATAACTGGTGATTAATCCAAGTGAAGATGTTAATCCTCCGATTACCATGGTAACACGACATCCCAGACGGTTAATGAGTATACTTGCAAATGGCCCTGAAATAAACAACAACAAAATAGGGCTTAAAGCAATTTAAAATAAGTATACTATAAATAAAATAAAACTAAGTACGAACAATGCAAACCATATGACAAAAATCCAAGTCCTAAAAAAAAAACGGTATAGGCAAAATAGTATAATTAGCAAATGGACTGTTCTTGAAGTGTGCTACCGAATTGATGGAAATGACCATGCGGTAGCATACCCAAGCTGGAGGCGATGCCACTTTCTTAGGGAGGAGACACTGTGTGGTGGAGGGAACACTTTGGTTGGGAGTGAGGAGTCGGGTTAATGGGGTGGACGTTGGTGGTGTCGTCACGTTTGGTCTACTGTAATGGAAAAGATTATTTTCTGTCGCGTTTTACACGGCACGCCGCTTGTAAGTATATTCCATGTGCATTTTGGGACGGAAAGCGTAAGGACGACCCCGGGCATCACAAAGATTTGCTATGCCACATTTGGTGTTGTCTACAAATATTAGCTACCTAAACCAGAAAATGATATTGACTATCGGTGAAGAAACATCTGCTCTCGCTATATTTAAGTCTTTGAAAAGAATGTCCCAAAGATTTACGTTGGTATGCAGAGCGTAACAAACTGGTGAATGCTCTTCAAAGTTTTCGAAAAGAAAATGTTCACAAAGCTTTTATGGGAGTTAGTTGAACAACTCCACGCAGTATGTGCCGAAACATCTAAAGACCCAGTGGACATCATTTATTTAGAAGATAGGAGCAATAAGTCAAAGATGACTGCCTTAACACGTGCCGTCACAGCACGCGACGTCAATCATTGGCTGAATCCCGCGTGCATTGTTTACATAAGACGTTACTGCTTCGGGCGGAATGCTGCCTTTTATGTGACAGTATTGGTTCTTTAATCAGGTTCGGATGACAAGACTAGTTTCAGCTTCTATTAATACTTTTATTCTGCTTCTAACATATTATGTACAAACATCGTAATGTTAAAGACACCCAGGACTAAATTACATTAGTTGGCCGTTGTCCGGTCTTAACTCCATGACCTGCGTGGCCTGGAGTTAACTACCAGACGTCGCCTAGCCTCCGCCTGCTCTCCTGCCCTGCCTGGACTTCTCTCGTATCCATTAGGTACCTTGATCTAGGCACCCGCCTAGCATGGCCTCCTGGACCCGCCTAAAGATTCGTTTCTGTTCTGAGTTTATAAACGTATTCGAGACAAAGGAGCTCATTAGACACCTGTCTAATGTATCAAGCATCATATGAAGGTTTAACATTCAATATAGTTTATCAGACAAAGAAAGTTAGATAAGACATGCCAACAACAAGTTATAGTTACGCAATGACATAAGGAATACTACCAAGATCTCCAGCCGGGTATTGATAGCGACAGGTTTATGTTACAATCACTAACACGTATTTTAATATGGCAGGACGCCTCTATGACATAAGTCATTATGTTATATACCTCTCTTTGTTTGAATAAAGTTATGAATTATATGAAATAACTTTTAAAGACTATTACAAAATTAGATACCTATGGAGTCGATAATTACTACTCTTATTAAGATATAAACAACAATAATAATAATGAAAAAATATATAAAAACAAACAACACTCGTAAAATGTCGTATACAAAAATGTCTATAAACAAAAAGAAAAGGTAAATGAAACACACACGAATTTAAAAGTTATATATACATGTAAAATGTCATAATATCCAAAAATGTCTTTAAACAAAATGAAAAGGTCAATGAAAAACACACGAACTTAAAAGTTATATACACACAATCGGTCACACACGCGAGTCAATGAAAAAAAAAAACAAACGAGATCCTGGAATCACAAACACAGACTACTCTTATTATTCACATAAATGGTGGAATCGCGAACACAAACTACTGTAATTATCTTCTTAGACCGATTATTTGGTGGAATCGCGAACACAAACTACTGTAATTATCTTCTTAGACCGATTATTTGGTGGAATCGCGAACACAAACTACTGTAATTATCTTCTTAGACCGCTACTGCACTGTCGTAGCCAACTGTAGGGGTGGGGTACATATGATGCCCTTCCTCGTTCCAGTAATGTTGAGGGGTCAGAATATTCCCTGCTCCGTTTAGTTCAGCTCTTCTTATTGACCGGTAGTCTTTTCATTTTCCATACCGTCTGGCAAAACGGCGTGTTATGACATGTGCATATGAAGAGTATTAACTGCCACCCGTGCCGAAGTTTTATCATCTGCTTATCATATATATCATGGAGTGAACTTAATTAATAGTTAATCAAATTAGCAAGTGGAACAGATTTGACTTTAGATATCGATCTAACGATATTTACAGTATTATTTACATGGATACAATTGAAATTAGGGAGTCATATTGTATTATTTTTTTCTGAACACATTTTACCAATCTTCAATAAGATATTTTGAAAGAACTTATCAAAATTAATAACGGTTTATCTCTATAATTTTTAAACACAACACAAAACAAGACAATACGTTCGCTCCTAATTCTGAGCACGACCCTCTCCTGGGGTTAAACCAATCCCACCTGACTGGGGTTTCACATAAACCTTTTCCCGTAACATATCGGGACCTCCCAATCTATATTATTGGGGTATCACAAAATAAAAATAATAAAAAATCTCTCCCGTACATATCGGGTCATCCCATTAACATTTGGGGTACTACGTTAAACACGAATAAAATCTTTGCCGTAAATATCGGGCCATCCCATTAACACTTGGGGTAATATACACGTATAGACAAAACAAATAAAAAACCTTAGAGATAAACGCGGTAATACTGTGTGAATGTTATTGGGTTAAATTTCAAATTACGATACTGTTAACCCAATTCTAGTTAAACAATCACAAAACATTTTACTTTTCGATATTAACCTATTAATACTAATTTTAAATGCCAAAATATGTGTTCAAAACAAACAATTATAATTTATAATCTTTTAAAAACAACATGACCCATTGTAAAACAAACAATATATATACAATTTTGTTTTAGTCATTTTCCTACAAATAGTTAAGGACTGTTCCACTACTAGCTTGAACGTTAAATTAAATTAAGTAACTACACCATGATATTTAATAAAGCGTGATGATAAACTGCTGATTTCCCAGTTAAATTATAATACATTATAGCACAATGTCATTATTAACCGGCCATGGTAGGATTAGAAAAAGACTTACCCGTGTAGACTAATATCTGTGGCCTGTGGTCTTCTAGTGGTGGACTTCAAACGTTGCTCTGGTCAGCGGCGCCAATTTATATGTGACAGTATTGGTTCTTTAATCAGGTTCGGATGACAAGACTAGTTTCAGCTTCTATTAATACTTTTATTCTGCTTCTAACATATTATGTACAAACATCGTAATGTTAAAGACACCCAGGACTAAATTACATTAGTTGGCCGTTGTCCGGTCTTAACTCCATGACCTGCGTGGCCTGGAGTTAACTACCAGACGTCGCCTAGCCTCCGCCTGCTCTCCTGCCCTGCCTGGACTTCTCTCGTATCCATTAGGTACCTTGATCTAGGCACCCGCCTAGCATGGCCTCCTGGACCCGCCTAAAGATTCGTTTCTGTTCTGAGTTTATAAACGTATTCGAGACAAAGGAGCTCATTAGACACCTGTCTAATGTATCAAGCATCATATGAAGGTTTAACATTCAATATAGTTTATCAGACAAAGAAAGTTAGATAAGACATGCCAACAACAAGTTATAGTTACGCAATGACATAAGGAATACTACCAAGATCTCCAGCCGGGTATTGATAGCGACAGGTTTATGTTACAATCACTAACACGTATTTTAATATGGCAGGACGCCTCTATGACATAAGTCATTATGTTATATTTAGTCATTTAAATAATAATTTTTACCTACAATACGTCAAACGCCTTTATTTATTTTTCCAATACATAAAAAAAAATGTTTTAGAATTTAATTTGTCTGGCTCATTAAGTCGCACCGATGTCCTCTTTATCAGTGATTGTAGCGGCCTAGCGGAAATTCACTTCTGATCAGTGTGTAAGTAACCCTTTAAAACGATGAGAAATTATTTGAATTTTGGTGTGGTGTGACCGTAACGTATTCATTCCCAGGGGTTCTTGTGAATAGTAAGCGATAATTTTAATAGATTTATCGATTACTCGTCATACGGGTCATACGTCATATCTTTATTTGATGATGGCCATAAGCTAAACAGATCATAGTTAAATAATGAAGCCACAATAAACAGCTGCTCCATTATACGTTATTATCTATGTATCATAAAATATCACACTTATTATATATATAAGCGCATTTAGATTCCCGAGGACAACGCAAGAGAACCTTAAAGTTGTCTAGGTTCAAGAGAGAAAGAGAGAGAGAGAGAGAGAGCAAGAGAGAGATAACGTCCACTCGACACAAACTAGTTCATTGTGGGACTAACATATGGTTCAATTATATTTCAATAATTCGCTTGCTTGTAAGGGTCTTTGGCAGTTCGAGGAAACCGGGGGACCCGAAGAAAACCCACGAGGATGGACAAGCGACCTTACTCCCGAAACCACACCGATTGACTCAATGACAGACCTTATGATACAACGCACACGCGCTAACCACTCGGTCATCCAACCCCCCGTCTGGGTTCAAAGGAAGGGTCTCTCCTATGGGTCATTCTCAGATTATAAAACCATTTAGCTGTAATCAGTGGCGGGTATGATTAATCTTTCCAATACACACTATATCCTATTTATTTATTCAGGCAGTTCATCAGCTAATACTTTGTATCCATAAAGTGCGTTCTGGGCTCGTAAAATTGGACAGCATCTGGTAAAGCTGGGCACCATCCGGTAAAGCATTCTGGAATTGTATTTATTCAGACAGTTCATCAGCTAATACTTTGTATCCATATAAAGCGTTCTGGGCTCGTAAAATTGGACAGCATCTGGAAAAACGTTTAGTAGGATTGGTTGAACGGGACATTCTGGAATTGTATAGAGTTGAACAGCATCCGGAAAAGTGTTCTGGAATCGTAGAGTTGAACAGTATCGGAAAAGCGTTCTGCAATCGTAGAGCTAGTCAGCATCTGGTAACGCGTTCTGGGTTCATAGAGCTGAACAGCTTCTGGTAACGCGTTCTGGGTTCATAGAGCTAGTCAGCATCTGGTAACGCGTTCTAGATTCATAGAGCTGAACAGCATCTGGTAACGCGTTAAAGTTTGACAGTCTGGTAATGCGTTCTAGATTCACAGAGCCGGACAGAGCATCTAATAAAGCGTTCTAGATTCACAGAGATGTGGTAAAGTGTTCTAGATTCGTTGAACTGGGCACCATTGGATAAGCGTTCCACAGTCGTAGAGCTGGAGAGCGCTCGGTAAAACCTTTTAATATCCAATAGCTGAACAGCATCTGGTAAATAGTTCTTGGTAGCATCTGGTTAATCTGGATTAGTAGAGCTGTACATCACAATCTTAACTACCCTGGGGGGTTCGTAGAGCTGAACAGCATCTGGGAAAGCGTTCTGGATTCCTAGATAGGACAGCATAGGAGAAAACCTTGATTTTTATACGTCCACATTCATAATTTAGTGAATTCCCTATCCCCAGGGACAGAGCCACAGCAATTTTTTCTTTGGGTGTCTGTGTGTTGCCTACAGGCCACAATTCTTAATGCATCGTCTTGGAATGTGGCATTTTGGTGCATGTCCCAACCTCCGCGGGCAGAGCTACGCCCAATTTTAGTGTTGATCGTATACAGGCCACAATTCTGATTGGATTATCTTGAAACTTGGTATGCTTGGACGGCAACTATTGATTTTGGTGCATGATCCGCCCCCCGTCTTTGATGGTGTCAAATCCGCTTTTTGTTAATATTTTGTCTGTAAATAATCTATAAGTTGCAATTATTAACAGATTTGGATCCAATTCGGCATGATTCATCATAGGGTTGTACCTTTTTATATTGGTCCATGTCCAACCCCCAGGGGCAGAGCCACACCCAACTTTTGTGGGGGTTGTTTTTGTCTACAGGCTGGAATTCTGTCTTTACTGTCTTGGAACTTTGCATATTTCCCCCCTATCCCATAAAGCTAGCAACTATTTATTTTTGGTGCATGCCCCGACCCCTAAGGGTGGTGTCTCAAACAAACACTTTTTTGTTAATAATTATTAGTGTGTAAATTTTGACAAAAACCCAACGCCGAGTTTTCTTTGCCTCGTGTCATAGTATAGTTATTGCAGCCATTTCATATTTCGTGCTCTTCATTTGAAAAAGTATCATATCGACCAAAACAGGAATGTGGGCGTATATTACTTACAGCGGTAGCGTTGTTCTTGTTTAAAGGGACAATAACACTCTTGCTGGCTAGACAGCTCCAGTAAATATTATTAGCCTTATTCTAAGTATTGGATGTTTAAGTGTCCTACCTGTTTTGTAAATTATCCAGTACATCCTATTTTACTTGTCCAGAGGGTTTACGTTAGGCTTTTTAAATCATTTAGTTGAATTTTTCCAATTTTTTAAATTAGGTGTGTTAAGATAAAATTTGTATCATCAATTAATTGGAATATTGTAAAATAGTACAGTTTGTTGACTAGAATAAAGATTGGGACATATTATTCAGTTACAAGAGTGGTATTGAGCCTTTAAATCTATATGTAACTAAATACAATCCACCCCCCACTCACTAGTGGATTATAATTGGTCAGCTCAACCTGTAAAGTCAGTGAATATCCTGGTTTGAAGTAATAGGTTTTGTTTCGAAATAGCTGTACATAGCCCATACCCAAAGGTCATTTAATGTTTAAAACATTTTGAAGTATATATTATATTATATTACGCTGTTCAGATTTGCCCTGGGACCGTTACAGATCTTTTATTGCATATCTTCAAACGATACACTATAACTATAGCTAAATCTATTTTTTAAGGCTAGCTGAAGTTTTGTCAAGGTCACTGAGATGTAAATAAGGTTAGGGCACGTGATTGTTGGCAAGATTGTAGGTTAGGGTTAGGGTAAGCATTGGGGCTAGGTCCAGGGTTCGGGTTAGGGGTTGGTATTAACACTGGCCCTGTTTACATCTCGTGACCTATGACGAAAAATTGAGCTGGCCTTGTCATTTAGCATAAGATATTCCATAAGATATATCCATGTATATATGAGTTGTGTTTTAATATTAATCCAACCTCGTGGGTTCTCCGGGTCTGCCGGTTTCCTCCCACTGCTAAAGACCCCTACACGCAAGCGAATTATGGAAATAAAATTGAACCATGTGTTAGTCCCGAAATGACCTAGTTTGTTTCGAGTGGACGTTAAACCCCATTTCTCTCTCTCTCTGTCTCTCTTTATATTGAATATTTATGTAAACAACCTGTAAACAGTTTGAGGCTCTCTCAGGGATTGTTTCGTGTCGCTGTTTTGTCTTCCTATGAAATGAAATGTGGTTTAACACTAACAGCCTGCCGTGGGCCTTGCGGGAGCCACGGTGGCTGAGCGGGTAAGACACTGGCGCGCTGGCCTGTTGGTCGCGAGTTCGCGACCGGTGTTTGCCGAGAAAGTTCATCGGGATTTTTCCGGCGTGCTTTCCCCTTATCAGTGATGCAGGACGGAGGGCCTGACTAGGACAGCTGTCTAGTCGTTCGGATGGGACCTTAAGACCGAGTCCATGCAGTGTACACATTGCTGTGTACGTAAAAGATCTTTTGGCAGTTGGAATTCGATATAAGAGTAGGTCTTACCGCCGCAGTCCGGGCAAAATTTCCCTCATAGCACACTGTATGCCCTGTGTTCATTAGCCCAGTATAGGAGCAGAACAGTAGGACCTTAAATCCCATTTCATTTACATACGCCTTGCAGTGTGTTATGAGTGAAATTATGCCAGGATAGAGGCGCTACGGATTACTATTAAGGGTTCTTTTACGTGCACGCCAATGTGTACACCGAACCTCGTTTTTCGTCCCAACTGAACGACTTGACACTTCCCTTGTTAAAACCCTCCGCCCTGCATCACTGTCAAGGGGAAACCCTGCTGGGAATCGTCTTTATTTATTCGAGATCGGATTAATTTTTGAGGCCTTAGTTTTTATGTGTTTGACATAAAAAAAGACAGATAAAATTAATCTTTTTAAGCCGGAGACTGGGCGGTCCAGACGTCTATTTTTGGAAGTGGTGTATTATGTAGGAACAGAAGACCCTCGTCACAAATGTATCATAAAATAAACTACATGTGTCGGGTTAGAACAGTGGGTCTCAACCTTTTTTTGCCAACGGCACACCTCGGAACACATGAAAAAATAGTGGCACACCTGACTAAATATATATGAGAAATATTTGAATTTTACAAAATAAAAACATGGTAAGTCAGATGGAATACAACCGTAGACAAAGACTATAGTCATAGACCCATAGAATGACTCAAACTACATAAAGAAAAACATAGCTTTCAGTAGACACCAGGAAAGCTGTCTAGTCGTTCGGATGGGACGAAAAACCGAGGGCCCGTGTACACATTGGCGTGCACGTAAAAGATCCCTTGGCAGTTGGAATTCGATATAAGAGTAGGCCGTAGTGCCGCTGTCCGGGCAAAATTTCCCTCATAGCACACTATAAGGCGTATGCCCGTCTTCATTAGCCCAGGTTAGGAGCAGAACAGTAGGACGTTAAACTCCATTTCATTTCATTTCATTTCATTTCAGTAGACACCAGTGAATACTCAATTGGGGTCACGTGGTTTTTCCCATTTTCTTAGTGTGGCGTTCAAAATTCCGCGGCACACTTAGGAAGATCTCGGGGCACACCTGTGTGCCTTGAGAATCGCTGGGTTAGAAGTATTAACAAGAGTCATTTGAAGGGAGTAAAATAAACCTTCTTACTACTCTATATATAGTCAAAGAGTAGTAAGGAGTTTTATTTCAGTCCCTTCAAGTGCTTGTGGTATTAACCTCATATTTACTCGGACACTGAAAAAAGATAAATCAAATTGTATTTATCACCAGTCGATTGTAAAATGCCTTCTTGAACACTTGCTTATATCGAATTTATAAAAAGAAAATAAGAAAGCAAATGGAAATCACTGTCAGTTAAGAGAGAGAGAGAGAGAGAGAGAAAGAGAGAGAGAGAGAGGGAGAGAGAGAGAGAGAGAGGTAATTTGGGGACTAAAATATGATTCAATTGTATTTCCATAATTCGCTTGCGCGTAGGGGTCTTTAGCAGTGGGGGGAAACCGGAGGGCCCGGAGAAAAACCACGAGGTTGGACAGGCAACCCTACTCCTTGTCACGTACAACAGCACGCGCTAACCATTTGGCCATCCAACCCCACTCTGTCAGTTAAGAGAGAGATGGGGCTTAACGTCCACTCGACACAAACTAGGTCATTTCGGGACTAAGATATGGTTTAATTTTATTTCTGTAATTTGCTTGTGCATAGGGTCTTTAGCAGTGGGAGGAAATTGGAAGACCCGGAGAAAACCCTACTCCTTGTCCGGTACAACCGGGGAATCGAAACCACGCCAATTGACTCAATGACAGACCTTATGATACAACGCGCACTCGCTAACCATTCGGCCATCCAACACCCCTCTGTCAGTTAAGAAAAGTAAGCATACTTGTTATTTCCTTGGAGATATTACAGAACCTGATATGTTTTATATTTAGTGATATCAATCACCCATGATATATGTATCTACTTACCCGCTAAAAACATACACGCCGGTGTCAGGGAACTAGCCCATGCAGTGGCTAATCTAGACTTTCCAAATTCTTCCAGGAATATAATGTTATACACACCAGTTGTCCAGGCAATACCAAACGAGAAAAAATGAGCAAAAAACGAAGCCACGACTACCATCCATGCCCATCCTTTATCCACCGATGAAGCCATAGTACTGCTGCCCTAGTCTGACTGCTAACCTAAATACAAATACTAACTTAAATGTAGGCCTACTTAATTTTGTTTTGAAAATCACTGCGCCACGTACGTATTTCTACTTCAATAATTTTCCATATGATCGTACAGTATATCACCATAATGCTTATAAATTGAATTTATAAATAAATGTACTTTTAAAATGTATCACGCCATATAAATACAATAAAAGCTAGCCCATATGAGCCGATAAAGGGCTATAACGTTCGTTTCGTGTCAATTGAATTGACACACATTATAAGCTGACACCGTTAGTTGTAAAAATTAGCGAATTACTCAAACACCTAACTGCACTTACGTTTCAGAAAAAGCTGTCCCATGTTTATTTTACATCATTTTCTACGCTAAGGCCTCGCGTGCCGCCACACTCGAACGTACCTGCACCTTGTTGAATCATGCAGGCAACGTGATCAGTCACTGAAGATGAAGCGAGGTATGTCCGAGTCTACGAATCGTACAGCACAGAGTTATTGATTGATTTCAAGCCTAATGTCCTATAATAATGAAGCTGTGGACTTGCTCCAACACAGTATATGGGCTATTCGGTGCAATACAGCGCTAGTTATTTTTCGTATGGAGTTCTAATTCGGCCACTTTTGTCCCCTCTCGATACAAACTAGGTTATTTCGGGACTAACACATGGTTCAATTTTATTTCAATAATTCGCTTGCGCGTAGGGGTCTTTAGCAGAGGGAGAAAACTCGAGGACCCGGAGAAAACCCACGAGGTTGGACAGACGACCCTACTGCTTGTCACGTTCAAGCGGTGATTCGAAACCATACCACTTGACTCAATGACACACCTTTGTGATTTCACAATATTATGGAATTTGCGGGTAGTTCGCCAGACCTCATGTCAAACTTAATGTTGTCTCTACCCTGGAGGGGATCACGTGGCTAAGTGGGTAAGACGCTGGCTCGCTAGCCTGGAGGTCGGGTGTTCGATCCCTGCATTGGCCGAGAAAGTTCATCCAGATTTTCCGGCGTGGTTCCCCCTTGTCAGTGATGCAGGACAGAAGGCCTGACAAGGACAGCTGTCTAGTCCTTCGGATGAGACGAAAAACCGAGGTCCCGTGTATACATTGGAATGCACGTAAAAGATCCCTTGGCAGTTGGAATTCGATATAAGAGTAGGCGATAGTGCCGCTGCCCGGGCAAAATTTCCCCCATAGCACACTGTATGGCGTATGCCCGTCTTCATTAGCCCAGCATAGGAGCAGAACAGTAGGACGTTAAACCCCATTTCATTTCATTTCATTTCTCTACCCTGGACACCCCGCTGCTCAAATTCCTGGATACGCCCCTGAAATTAGATAAGAAATTTGACCTGCCGACACTTTGGAACGCGATATTTGATTCTAATAGAGGGAGAGGGTGGATTTTGTTGTACAGTCTCACATATTAAAGATTTATTATGGGAGATTAGATAAAAAGCTGACAGTTCTCACTATAATAGTTAAAAACTAGATAATGTAAAGGGAATTTGCTGAAAATTTCAGTCAAATTGATCCACCCTGAACCGAGTATTTAGCGATTGAATTTTGTGCCTAGCCTCGATCATCATAGTCTCGATTATCTAATTTTTGATTTAATCAGAAGCAGCAGACCGAGTTCTAATCCAGTAACTATCGTAAGCTAGCGATGCCATCGAGGGTTGATTATGGTCTGGATAAGTTAATTCATGTCTAATTAATAATTTAGATAACATTTCAGGACTAAAGAATTACCTGCAATTGGCAGATTTAGCTCTTGCATAATATACTGAGCGCCTTGGAAAACGCATCACTTAGTTTTTCGTATAACAAAATGATCCTGTAAACATATCTTATTTATTTTGCTTCTTATTGTGAACAATATTCAAATGGGAACACATCAATAACAACACATTTGTACACTTATGGATGTTTAATCTGTAATCAAGGGTACAAAGTCAGAGGGGTCAAAACCAAAAGTACGACACAGATGTCAGTAGCGCGTGTGTCCTCCACGGGCCATCATTTCGGTAGGCTACAGCATTAACGCGACCCCTGCAAATGTGTAGGGCGGTCCGGTGATGAAATGTGAAGCCTCGCCACACCATTACACTTCCCCCACCCCATCGATTCGTTTCGAAGACGCAGCAGTCTGCAAGACGTTCCTCAAGACGTCTCCACACACGTTGACGGCCATCAGCGTGATAAAGATAAAAGCGACTCTCATCACTGAAGAGCACACTTTGCCAGTCTACTCTTCTCCATGTCTGGTGTCCTTGAGCCCATATCAAACGCCGCTGACGGTGATGATCCCTGAGGATAGCTCCAACATAAGGTCGTCGTGCCCGGAGTCCTACTTCTCTAAGACGACGTCTTATGGTGTTGGCACTTACTGGTACTTGTCTTCCGACGACTGCTGTCCCTGTTCGAGTCGCTGGGCGGAATCTGTCACGCAGATGAGTGACCCGGATGTAGCGGTCTTGAGCCTGGGTTGTAACGCGTTGTGGACCAGGACGTTGACGGTCACGTGTTGATACAGTAACTCGAACACGTTCCACCAACCTTACAATAGTGGACTGATGACAATTGAAGTGTCTGGCAATAGCACGTGTAGACATGCCAGCCCGGGACATTCCAAAGGCTTCGTTCCGTTGATTTTCAGTAAGTCTCGGCATCTCTAGCTCGATTCCTTTACACGTCCAACAACAAATTACGACAGATTGACATTTCACAGTTCATGTACTGCACATTAAGTTGAAAACATGGTTTTAAAGGGCTCACATACAATGCTGCACGTGAATATTGGGTTTTTCATGTGCATCTCGTGCAATTGTTTTTTGTGCACACGGGCCGATATTTTTTGCGTTTGGGAGCATTGTGTGAAACAATAGTTCAGAGTATTGCATAATATTATACATACAAAAACACCTAGTAATAAAATATTTGGGGAAAAAAAGTGATGCGTTTTCCATGGCGCTCAGTATATATGTTTAAGCGTATATGGAGTCTTTTGTAACAACTAACAATGGTGGATGCGGTTGTAGGCAAGAACCTATCGAATGCTCCCTAAAGCACATCGCCTCTAAATACGCCACCAGCGCAATTATTCCACCTGAGGCAAGAACCTATTGAATGCTCCCCAGCCCATTTATTCCACCTAATGCACAGAGCACATTAATGGTGGGTGGGGTTCAAGGCAAGAACCAATTGAATGCCCCCCCTCCCCGAAATAAAACTCTATTTATTCCACCTGAGGCAAGAACCAATTGAATGCCCCCCCCCCCCCTCCCCGAAATAAAACTTTATTTATTCCACCTAATGTACAGAGTGGCCAAAATAGAGCACCATACTTCATTAATTAATATGGACACAGATCACTAAAGATTTCCCCATTGACTCCAATGTAAATTCTCGTATCTTAGACCGGCTCTAACTTTTTCCCAAATTTTCGTTGGGTAGAACGCTTTCTACCACAGATGGAGCAACATGTGGCAACCACTTGCCCAAAAGCACGTATGAGGTTCTTCATGAAAAACTTGAGATACACAAGCTGGAAGTAGAGACAAATAAACATGCAATTTCAGGCCCTACATTTCAACGTAACCAACCTCTCAACTCTTGTATCCTTCCGCATCAAAATTATGAATATTCACCAAAACCTGGCAGAAAATGTATTTTCAAACCCTTTTCCTCAATTCTACACCAAAAAGTCAACAAAAATCGCCATGCAAAAGGGGGAAAAAGGAAAAGGGAGAGGAAGACTAAAAATAGCTTTGACGGCGTAGGCGTAGGAATATTTGGTGATCTGTGTCCATATGATAAATTTAGCAGTCGTATTCGCAATCTTGTTAAGGCCAACCATAATACTGCCCAACCTCCTCTCCTCATACCAGATAGAATGAATGAGCCATGATGTATCTGGAGAAGATGGGTGGACTGGGGAGTATGCCGCTGGCTACTGCCTTCTATTACATCCACAAGTTTATGTCGTTTATAAAAAAGATAATAAAAACAAAACAAGGCTTAATTCGCTAAACAATGAAACATTTATATAGTGTATACATATACTTGCATATCCAGATGTGATTTAACTTCTGATACCTAATACTACTTCTCATGTTGCTTCATGCCTCGATAAGTGTAATTTCCTGTTTGCTGGTCTGGCACAGTGCTTAAAGATACATTATGTTAGATTTAGATAAAGAGCTGACCATTCTTGCTATATTAGCTCATAAATAGATCATGTAAAATGAAAATATTAAACATGTCATTACGCTAACTTCATTCCGAGTTATCAGTGTTTGTAGTTTTGACAAGATGTGTTGTGTGCATTGTGGTAACTGGTAACCAGGGCACTTATTTATTCCCGACTTAGCCTCGCTTTCCTATTTTTAAATTAATTTTTAAATGTCGAAGCTTTCTAATCTAGTTAAAATCTCGAGTATCCAATGCCACCGAGAGTTGATTATGGTCTTGCTTTGTTAATAAATGTGTAATTAATAGTTTATATAATGTTTCAGGTCTAAAGAAAAACCAGCAATAGGCAGATTTAGCTTTTGTATAATGTATGTTTAATATATAAACTAAATAAGGTACATACATATTTCAGATGCTAGACTTATTACCTATACAAAACAAAATGAATACAATTCTTCTATTTTAATGGTTGCCTATACTATACATTTTCGTATTTGTGAAATGGAATGAATTAAATTTTACGCCCAACTTACCTGTACTTACTGGCAGTGGCGGCGCCAGCCGTCGGTGATTGGAGGGGCAAAGCTGGGGCAAAGTCCAAGGTTAAGGGGGCAAAGGCACGAGTTTCAACTAGGGGTAGGGGGCCTCCCCCAGAAAATTTTGAAAAACAGGTTGCCGGAAATGCAGCCTGGCAGTATTTCAAGCACTGATCGATGAAGTAAAGTGTCAAACGAACGGACTTGCGAATCACGACGAAGCCCACTCACGAGCGTCAAAGTAGGGAGTCCTCCCCCCAGAAAATTTTGAAAAATAGACTGCCGGAAATGCTGTCTTACAGTATTCTGTCAGGCACCGATCGTCGAGATAAATAGATCTGCCCAGATACCGTTCGTCGCCTGATCACTAGTTTATCCGACTAGAGAACAAAATGTCAAACGAACGGACTTGCGAACCTCAACGAATTCCCCTTGTGAGCGCCAAAGTAGCGAGTCCATTGGGGACCTCGTCAAGAAAATTTTGAAAAATAGACTGTCGGAAATGCTCTACAACATGCAAGTTTATGACTGAGTGGGACTGTGGGATTTATTCACCGTAGAAGGTATTTATTACCGAAACGTATCACAAATACTTTTTTTTTATTTTCTAAAATTATTGGAGGGGGGGGGGAAACAGAGGGCAGACCAGATTAATGGGGGGGGGGGCAAATGCCCCCCTTGCCCCCGCCCCCCCTGGCGCCGCCACTGCTTACTTGGTTCATGAAGACGAGTATATGCTATGCAATAGGCATTGTGGGAAATGCAAAAGTCTAAAAGATAAGGCCCGTAGATTTCTTTAAGGTGG